CTCCCAAAAGAATTTTCCTAATCTCTCTTAGAAACAAAGCACACTTTTCTCTCGGGCTCTTTACGAAGCAGGCAGAGATCATAGGCCCTCCTCCCAGTGGGATGGAGTCCTTGGAGGCTCGGCAGAGCAGGGCTGGCTGGGGTCCTCTCTCAGGGCCCCTGCCTGTATCAGAGGTTGTCTAATGTCATGCTGATTCCCAGGTTTGCTCCCAAAGGGCCCGATTCCGCAGATACAAAGCAGGGCCCAGGAAAGAGCATTTTATGAGACTCCCAGGATCTGCTTTTTACCCGTGGGATAGGCCAGTGGTTCTCCAAAGCTGGTATCTACCCAAGAGGTTGTTAAGAGACCAGCTCTGGGGCCCCACGCCCCAAAGCCCCACGTCGGAAGGCTTCGGTGGAGCCCAGGAATCTGAATTTCTGGGGAGACTCTCTGGGATTCTGGAGCAGATGATCTGAGGACAGAGGAACATGGAGGGTAAGTCTGGTCCCAGGCAGATTCCTCTACTGTAGGTCTGGGGGCGTGGCCCGAGGTTCTGCCTTTTGAACACACTCCCAAGGAGTGTTGCTGCTGCTGGTCTGGGTGTGAGGGTCCCCTGTCAGGTGGCCGAGCCACAAACCATCTTTTGTCCTCCACGGCCGTGCATTTTAGACCCTATTTCTGCTTCCTCTCTAAAGGCGTCCTCACTGCCTCGTTCACAGCAAGCATGATAAACCAATGCTCTCTACTGGACTTTCCTCAGTTACTGCAGTACTCTGAGAGCATTTTCCCGAAAATGCCGGTTTATGTGTACAAAGCACTTCCTCCGGCAAGTGAGTTTGGGAAGTGCTCCCTGCTGGGGTCGCAGGGCCTGGGTGAGAGGCTGCCAGCCCGTGTCCCTACCTGCCCTCACCCCGCTGTGCTAGATGGATGCTAACAGAGCCCACTTACTGAGTGAGGACGACTCTGCGTTCCTTTACCCAAAGCTCTTGCATCTCCGCCCGACTCAAGGCTGCGGATCCCACACGCCCTGTTTGAAGTCACGGTGTCCTTCCACGGCGTCAAGTGGTCCAAGACAGGGAGCCGTGTCGCCCAGTGTTTGGGCCTCAGGACCGCCATCCAACGCCACCATTTTTGCTGTCGAGTTGCCGGCCTGTCTGCACTCCCACAGGTGACGGAGCGCAGCAGAGCCCACGCTGACTTCTGGAACGCACACCCCAGGACTTGTTCCCATTATGCGGCCGCCTTCTGAAGACAAAGGCAGGTCCTGGCGATGGACATTTCAAGACACCTGTGTGAGCTCTCTAGGCCGTGATGAAGTGCACTGAATAAGGTGGGGTGGGGGGCAGCAGCAGGGGTCTTTCGGAGATGTGAGCTCATGGCTGAGGAATGCAATTTCCCCCAGTGTGGGTTTCGGGTGGACTTGTCCATGAAACCCCACTGTCTGCAGAAGACCTTTGCAGGCGGACCGTGATGAGGCCGGCACATTCGGCACATTGGGCCCTGTAGAGCTGTGAATCTCCCTACTCCCCTACTGAGTTGGGTGTGCTCTGAGCTGCTAGGCAGATGCGGCCAGGACAGATGTGCTGTTCCGTTTGCTAGTCCCACAGGCTTGCTTACGGGATGAGAATTTGCACAAAACCCCATGGGTTTGTGTGTAGATCTTACCCTGCCCCTCCTGGCTCATCTGATTACAGAAGTCTAAAGCAAGAGAGCTAACCAGCCGCACACCCTGCCCAGGTAGGAGGGTCCTGGGGGAGAGGAAAAGGCCCTTTTGCAGCTCTTCTGCTCTCCTGCCCAAGTTGCCTCTGACCTTGGAGCTCAACACTAGTCCTCAATCCTCCCCCCACTCCTTTGCCAAGCATATCTTAAACCAGAACTAAGGTAATCTGGACACAGCTCCTCCAAACCAAAACAAAGAAATTTGAGTAAACAAAAATCACTTTTCTTCCATCTCCAAGCCAGAAGGAAACGCGCAAAAAACATGTACTCATTTTCCAAGCTGTACATAAATCCCATAAATCCCACCTCCGTTCCGAAACCCACCAGCAGAGCCTAGTGGAGCCGGCCCGGCCAGCCGGCGCTGACATTCCTGACGGCTCTTCTGCGGAAAATTTCTTCCTTTTCTTTCCCGGGGCCTCTAATTTCTTTCTTGGCTTCTCAGGCCTAACTGCGTTTTGATGCAAACAGGAATTAGTCCCGTCCCCAGTCCTTAGGGGCGCACGGCAGCCGGGGCTCCGACTCAGAGCTCTGCACTGCGCTGGGGGGTCTGCACGCCTGCGGATCTCCCGTCTCGCTCCGCTCTGCGCTTTTCTGATGGGCTGGTCTCTCGGGGCTGACTCCTGGTCGCCCAGCAAAGCCTCCGGTGAGGCGGGCCTGGGCTGCGGGAGTCGGCGCGAAGACACTCTAAACGTAGAGAGCACAAGGGGAGCGCCCTCCCACCGGGGGCCGGGCAGGAAGTTGGCCTAAGCAGCAGGGGCTCCCCATCCAGAGGGCGCGCCCAGGGTCTGAGGGGGCTCCCGAGCCGCCTCCAGTCCTCAGGTCCCCGCCCTCTCCCCCCAGTACTAGGAGGGTCGGAAGTCCCCGGCCCACACGGGCTCCGACGTCCCGCCGCGCGGGGCGGGGGCGGGGGCGCGGGCGCGG